TCTTAAATATTAATTCCTCTACACTATAATGTACTACGTGGTAAACTTTCCAATAAATAATATTCTTAAATATTAATTCCTCTACACTATAATGTACTACGTGGTAAACTTTCCAATAAATAATATTCTTAAATATTAATTCCTCGACACTATAACGTACTACATGATAAACTTTCCATTAAATAAGATTCTTAAATATTAATTCCTCTACACTATAATGTACTACATGATAAACTTTCCATTAAATAAGATTCTTAAATATTAATTCCTCTACACTATAATGTACTGCATGATAAACTTTCCATTAAATAAGATTCTTAAATATTAATTCCTCTACACTATAACGTACTACATGGTAAACTTTCCATTAAATAAGATTCTTAAATATTAATTCTTCTACACTATGATGTACTACATGGTAAACTTTGCAATAAATAATATTCTTAAATATTAATTCCTCGACACTATAACGTACTACATGGTAAACTTTGCAATAAATAATATTCTTAAATATTAATTCCTCGACACTATAACGTACTACATGGTAAACTTTCCATTAAATAAGATTCTTAAATATTAATTCCTCTACAATATAACGTAGTACATGGTAAACTTTCCATTAAATAAGATTCCTAAATATTAATTCCTCTACACTATATATTGTTTGCATATAATACAGTTTTTTTTTCAGATTAAAGCTTGTTTCTTAGTAAGTATACGGTGTAATATGTTTCATGGTGATCTGTCGCGTGGTAAAAGCTCAGACTACATCTTGTTTCTTAGTAAGTACACAGTGTAATCTGTTTCATGGTAATCTTTTCACACTATAATCGTTGTGCGGTGAAAGTTCAGATTACAGCTTGTTTCATAATAAATACACACAGAGTCTAATCTGTCATTGGCAATATTTTCATACTATAATCTGTTGCACGGTAACAGTTCAGATTATAGATTGTTTCAGAGTAAGTACACATAGTCTAACAGATTATAGTGTAGAATAGTACCATGTGACATATTGCATGGTAACAGTTCAGATAAGACCTTGTTTCCTAGTAAACACACACAGTATAATCTGTTCACACTAGATTCTGTTGCATGGTATCTATTAAACGAATTAAAATCCTATAATAAAAATTACTTCTAATAGCAGATCACACGTCATCGTACCTTTGAGTTCCTTGATATTGTTTGCTGCTAGATCAACTAGTTGTGATGTTGTCAAAGATAAAGAGTGAAGAATTCCCTCTATGGAACCCAGGCGTTCACAGTATCTCCTCTGGTTACATCCAACCATTTGACATTCGTTTAAGGTAAGCAGTGTAAAAACCAAACAATATAAGATTACTTTAGAGCTATCACAGAAACTCATGATGGAAAGTTGGTTCTGAAATACTACTGACAATGTTGTCTCTTTCAAATGGGCTGTGATTAATACCTTCTAGATATTAAATATCTGACTTGAACGCCCCAAAACAAGTTTGTTAATTATTCTTAAAGGAAAATCTAACATCCTGAAAGCTTCCGGTTTGACTGGCACGAACCATTGTACTTCCGCCATTTTTTTCTCTTTTCCTCTGATTTGTAGATATCCCACAAGCAGAGAAAAACCTAATATTAAATCATAAGTATACTCTGTCATTGGTCGATACTCCTGTCAACCCTGTAGCAATTTTCTCTTAAGGGTGATTGGCCTGTTTCAAGCCAAACAATCTTACGTTCATGGAATATAGAAAAGGACACGTGAAGTTTTTTTTTTCCAGTAATTACGCATTTGTGTCGATTTAACTCTTCTTCGTTACAAAAATAATTTAACTAATTGTTCATAGGACTTTCTTTTGTTAACTTTAACAATAAGCATTATTTGTTTTCAAACAGTAATTTATTTATAATAATGTATTCCACAGTTTATATTTAAGAATGTTTTAAAGATTTATTTTTAAAGTTTTCCAACCTATTTACCACTATTATTATTTTTTTCAAACGATATAAGTTGGATTAAATATTTGAAAAGTTGCAAAATTTAACAAAAAGGCTATTAAAACATATTTATGTTGTGTGGAAAAAAAATACAAATTTGTGAATTACATAATTTAAAAAGTCTAACCACTTATTGCATCTCTTGAAAAATAATGATATTTGAGTTCAGTCTTTATCAGCATTAAAAAAATCTTTATTCTCAAAACATGAACAATTTCAAGCTTGTTGTCGACTAATCTTTCACCCACATTTTCCATCTTCAAATAATAAGTGCATTCGTAATTCTATAAGATCAATTTATCCTCCTACCTATTAATGATTATTTTATTCCTTTATTTTGACTGGAAAAATATTTGAATATAAAATAAAACACTTTTGTAATGTGCGATTTTTATGAATAGAAAATGGTGGGCAGTAAAGAATATTGGATTGTGAAAGTTATTTAACTTGAAAATGGTGGTCACTAAGAAAAGAAACTGCTCTGTGAAACTATTTAATTCGAACATTTTATTCAGAAGGGAAAGGAACTGCATTGTTAAACTATCTAGATGGAAATTATGTTATGCTGAAAGGAAAGGAACTGCATTGTTAAACTATCTAGTTAGACATTTTTTATGTCGAAAGGAAAGGAACTGCATTGTTAAACTATCTAGATGGAAATTATGTTATGCCGAAAGGAAAGGAACTGCATTGTTAAACTATCTAGTTAGACATTTTTTATGCCGAAAGGAGAGGAACTGCATTGTTAAACTATCTAGATGGAAATTATCTTATGCCGAAAGGAAAGGAACTGCATTATTAAAACTGTCTAGTTAGACATTTCTTAGACAGAAGGGAAACGAACTGCATTGTGAGAAAAGCTTTTTGTTGGCCCGGCATGGCCAGGTTGTTAGGGTACTCGAATTCTCGTCCCATCAAACATGCTCGCCCTTTCAACCGCGAGGGCGTTATAATGTGACGCTCAATCCCACTATTCGTTGGTAAAAGAGTAGCCGAAGAGTTGGCGGTGGGTGGTGATGACTAGCTGCCTTCCCTCTAGTCTTACACTGCTAAATTAGGGACGGCTAGCGCAGATAGCCCTTGTGTAGCTTTGCGCGAAATTCAAAACAAGCAAGCTTTTTGTTTTTCAATGTGAAGGATTTTGTTAAATGTTTGGCAGTGAATTTGGTCATAGTAAAGCATGTTTTGTATTTAATTTTTTATTTCAGTTTAATATTGTTATTTTATATTTTAAAACGAAAAAAAAAAGACCATATGGACATATTTCTATTTTTTATTTGATGATTTAAACATAAAAAATGTTTTGAGGTGCTATAACTGTCTAATACTATTGCAAAGAAAATTTTATAATGTTATTTAAGCAGCAAACTTGGCATAATGGTTAGCGTGCTGGATTATGAATTCAAGGGTCCTTAGTTCGTGTTCTGTTGCCATAAAATCACACTCCGCATTTTGAGGCCTTGTGTGCGTATAATAATGATGACCAACTCTCATTATTCAAGAGTTCGCGGTGAATGCTGTTAACTATCTGCCTTCCCTCTAGTGAACGTTTTCTATAAAAGAAAAAAAAATTCTGGGAAGTACTGAACGGGAAATATAATCGGATTGTGCTCATTAGTCATAATGATTCAACGTACAGAGCCCAAAATTTTCATAAGTTTTACTGATATAAAATGTAATGTTTTTTTATATATACACTAAAAGTGGTACCGTTTATTGAAAAATTGATAGTTTTTTAAGAATTCCACTTTTTCTCATTACTACATTTAAAAATTATATCAATAAAGATAAAACCAAACTCTCACGTACAGTTCTAGTGAAAGTCGTGTTCTTGTTGTGAGGAGAGTACTTTTCTTTCAAATTGTGTTCTATTATAAGGAAATAATTGTTGCACAAACCCCAGTTATTTTTATAATTGTCTGAATCTTGAATACCCCAAAATGTGAATTTTCGTTGCCATTCAGTAGATGACGCAGGAGTTTTGGTTACATACATAGATACTGACATACACGCTACGTCCATTATAGCAAGATTATTTTACTGTAAAGACCTGCAAGTCCCTATGTGCCATTCACTTTAAAGTTGAAGTTTTTTCCCCCTAGTAACTCGCAGCAAACAAATTGTGGAATCAAGCTTGCCTTTGAGTAATATGAACAATTTTTTGACTGATAAAAAGACTTTCCGTGGCACAGCGGTATATCTGCAAAATTACAAAGCTAGAAACCGGGTTTTGATACTCGTGGTGGGCAGAGCACAGATAGCCCATGGTGTAGCTTTGTGCTTAATTACAAACAAACTGATAAAAAGGGCACTTTTAGGGCATAAGAGAAGGAAAGCAGAGAGTTGAGTCCACCCAAGCACCCCCCAGAGCACGTCACTGACCACTATTATAAGGCAGAGAGTTGAGTCCACCCAAGCACCCCCCAGAGCACGTCACTGACCACTATTATAAGGCAGAGAGTTGAGTCCACCCAAGCACCCCCCAGAGCACGTCACTGACCACTATTATAAGGCAGAGAGTTGAGTCCACCCAAGCACCCCCCAGAGCACGTCACTGACCACTATTATAGAGACCAGTGTACATTAGTCTTTGCCTTATCTTTTGGCCAAATAATTCAACGGTTTGTTTCTCACTATTATTTTTTAGGGGTCGTTTTACAACAGATCAGTCTTTACAAGAAGTTCTAGCAATCTTGTGTGGTCTTAGATTTTGGAGATAATGTTCCGTTTTCTGTTCTTCTTAATTAATAAATCTTCAACAAGCATCATTTCCCTGTTAGTTTAGGAGACATTTTTTGTACAGTACACAGTTAAAGTTGATTGCCAAGATGAGATTTCTACGGTTGTCCTAAAGTGAGTTTAGGATAAGTTTTCGTACAGTACATAGGAATTACTGAGAGACAAGTTGAATGACGCAACTGGTAGTCTGTTTTTAATTAAATAACTACCAATGAAGCAAGAGTGTTTCCCAATCTTTATCATCTCTGAATGTTATTGCTATCTAATTATTGACCTTTATAATACAACAGACACGACCTACTATTAGAAACTTTTCAAAAATATCAGAGCTTTGAAAGACCCTTCCGTCCGAATTTACTACAAATTGATTAAGTTTAATAATGTTTTTTTTTTAAATTTAGATGCAGAAAGTCGATTTTTTTTAAATATTTAACTCTAACGTTTCTCTTTTGTTTTCGTAGTTAAAGTTTAGGTTCTTACTAAACAAATATATCTAATCCACCGCGCATAAGTTGAACAGAAAGCGACTGATTGTTCTAGTGAAACATAAAACTTTCACGTGCACACACACCAAATACTTGTTTTGAAGTAAAATCAAAATAACGTGTGATGTGTGAAAATAAACAGAATGAGGAAAAATCATGCTGAACGAACGTTTACCTTAACTTCAACGATTAATCTGCATTGAAAGACCTCGATTATATTTTCCAAGACTCTTGTGAAATGACGATTTTAAAAGAGCCAGAATAAAGTTTGTTCGATGATTTTTCGGGCAAAGATGTTCTTTTTATCGAGATTTAGATCCATATGGACCTGGGAGGGTCAGGTACAAGCTTGATTGACCCCTTTCTCCCTCAGCACGGGTGTTATGGTTGCACTGTTCTAATGTTAAGCATTACATAATAGAGGGCGTTGATTTCACAAAAGTTTATAGTATGATTTCAATATCCCTGTCATGGCCATGTCCGTTTATGTACTGTGTTCATCATTCACACTGGTATACACTTCGCTATTGGTAGTTCCATATATTTCAATGTCTTTTCATTTTGTAGTTTATACCATATGTATTTACATAAATACCCTAATAATACACAATATATAAACCACAATAATGATATGTTCGAAGGATTGTTTTCTTTTTTTATTTGGCACAATTATCAGTGCTAGCCATCCACAATTTTGAAGTGATAGACTGGAGGGAGTCAGTTTTTTTGTTTTTGAATTTCGCGCAAAGCTACACGAGGGCTATCTGC